AAAAAAAAAAAGTTTAAAAAGGCGCTTTCCAAATAATAGGAAAAAGAGACAACGTTTGTGGCGCAGCCGCCGTCACGCCGCCACGGCCTCATCCTGCCACCGCGGCGACCTCTGACCTGCTGGCCCGGGCCCTGCATGCTGCCCCGAGCCCTGCATGCTGCCCCGGGCCCTGCATGCTGCCCCGGGCCCTGCATGCTGCCCCGGGCCCTGCATGCTGCACCGGGCCCTGCATGCTGCCCGGGCCCTGCATGCTGCCCCGGGCCCTGCATGCTGCCCCGGGCCCTGCATGCTGCCCCGGGCCCTGCATGCTGCCCCGGGCCCTGCATGCTGTCCCGAGCCCTGCATGCTGCCCCGGGCCCCTGACCTCATCGTGTTCGTCGCCAGTTTTGGTTTAATTTTTCGTTCAAATTTATCTTCCAGGATCAAAATTATCTTCGAGTTTTACTCATTTTTTCTGTTATCGGAAATTTTAGAACATTTATTATCGATTTGGCTTTATGGCTTTGAAATTTCAATTTTTAGTTTGCAAAACACATTTTTTTCTCTGATGTTCTGAAATTCAACTAATGAAACGGATTAACTTTTCCGCCACTCTGTTATATCCTGTTATCATAAATCTTTGTAAAATATCAGCGGTCTAAAAGAAATCTTGATTTGTACAACTTCAGGCCTTTTGGTATCCTTGGCAAGTGTTTCGTACGTAGCAGCCCCAGGTCACGCTGGAGCCCTCAACCATCGGTAGCCATTGCATGCACATTTTTGTCCACTTTACTTCATATTTCTTTGAAATGAACGATCACGCTTGCAGAGGTCACAGTTTAACTTACCCCGAGTACGAGCTGAGTGTGAACAACACGATGACCCTTATTATTGACTGCGTTGGGTAACAACGCAACAAAAACTTAATTGTCTACGCATCGCGCTCTAAATAAGTGGCTTAATTTTGAATCCAAATGCTTCGTTACATGTAATCCAAGTGTCGCATATGTAAATGTGATAGCCGCCACAAAGTTGGATAAAAACAAACCCAGAATGCCATAAAAAGACTATCTCTTTAGGCCGATTATACTTAGACTTTTTTGCTTAGTTCGGTGTCGCAGCTTCGTGTCTTTCGGCCAGCCGATTAACCTTTGCCATGGATTCATCGAATCGTCTCTCATCTTGATGAAACAGCCTGCTATTTCGAAAGCTTTATTATTTGTTTCATTTCTAGCAAATACTCAAAACGATTTTGCAGTGAGAGCAAGTTAAAAAAATCTCGCAAAACGAAGACCTGCTCAGTTGGGATGTTCGCGTAAAACGTTAACGTCACGGTCAAGATCCAAGACGAGGTTTTGATTTAAATGTACGTTATACAGTGCCGGATACATATACGGTGGTACACTTACAAAGGGCAATTAATAAAATGAGTTAGAATTTTCTGTTGGTGCTTCACGCGCGTCGTAATTATCAAGCTTCTTTCGTAATTGAAAGAAAACGTATATACTCAAGTCCCCATAAATGGCCTAATTAAGTACGTTAGTTTCCTAGTTTATATTGTACATGAAATTTATTAATACATGAAACCTGTTGTGTAAATATTGGTCCATAAATAGACGGGAATTTCCTGTGCATATATGGGACTTTAATTGCATCGTTATAGCATTCATTACTTTATTCGTTCACTTAACGATAGAGACTTCAATCCGAAATATTTATAGGTAAAGAGTTAAGGATGCGTTTTACTGAGCGTCCGTTGTATTATAACAGATTATATACTCGTGGCTTCAGCTCACATCTTCCTTTGTGATGTCTCAAGCTGACCAGTGTGATAAACGACCGCTGCGTTGCAAGGTATTTCGTGCATGCCTTTGTTTCAGAAATAGATTTGGGGCAATAAATTTTCAGTCCGGGACATTCTTCAGCTCGGCGCGGGTCTTAGTAAAAGCAGGTTCCAGGACCTGTCGGGTCCAAACCTGGGGACTTCCTGGATTACAGTTACTGCGGGTAACTCAACCGTTTAGGATTACGAATTTTTTCTTCACTTAGAAGATGTTCTTGATGATTCAATACTTGTTTCTTTCTCTACCGGTGCTAGAAAGTTGCGAGTTATCAATTGATTTACCTTTTCTTTGCCGGTGTCAAAAGTTGCAATTTGAATAACAAGCATTCAATATACACAATCACTTTTTCTTTAGTTTTCCGGTTCTAATAAGTAGCAAGTCCACTAGATAATATATTTAATAGCATAAAGTGAATACCGAGCCTGCTAAGTATGCGTAGTCATGCTCCTGCAACCATTTCCTGAGCACTTAAGTGTCGCGACGTCACTTATGGGAGACTACGTTATTTTATTTCTTGCCCAGGGAACTTCCTGTTGTTTGTGAATATCATCGCTGGACTAACATAGAGTTCCTGCCATTGTTACCGCCCCATTCAAACTCCGAGCGTTGATAAGCATGCCCGTAATTACCTTTACAATCCTTTGGAACCTTTTGGTGATTACGTAAGAATATATTTAGGCATAATATTAACTAAATTCTTTGTGTAGGATCTTTATTCACGCCTTGCGGTTTCCGGTGTTGCAATATGAAAGAATGCATTTGAGTGAACTTATTGCAACATAGTCTTGAACCCTGACAGCGTCAAGTATCCAGCATGATGTGCATATTCATTTATAAAATATCTAAAAAATTTACCTGCTGATATAAAATTTCTTTAGCAAAATAGGAACTGGTGTGCTACGAAACACCATAGGTGAGATCGCCGGATTAAGAAAATTAAGATAACTTATGATCTTATCATTCAAGATGTTCAAATGTGCTCTGTTATCAAACATTCATAAATCAGAGTCTATAAGAATGTTGAGATTAAAATCCATCGAGCACCAAGTGTAATTTCGGGCAATTTTTCGTGCTTTTTTCGGGCGTTATTTTTTGGTTGCTACGAATTATTTTATGTTCCATCAAACCTAACTTAATTTTCTTCCTGCATTAACCGTCATCTTGCCATAGCCGAATTACATTCTAATTAATTTTCAATAATCTTGAAAATTACTGACAATGAATTTATAGCTAATTTAGAAAAAAAATTTGAAAATGTATAGATAAATCTATTTTTAGATCGGAAGAGGTTAAAAAATAAGGGCTCTGAAGCCCTTATTTTTAACCTCACCGCAAATCAGTGTTGAAATCATCGAGGCCGCCTATCATTATTTCCATCGTCAAGACGCCAATCGTTCGAGTCTGGTGAGTCGTGAGTCGGTCGTTGAGTCGTGCATTGGCTTCTTTGCGTGACTCATCTCTAAAATCTTCACCCATTTTTCCGGAAACCAGCAAAATATATTAGGCTGCAGCCTTATAAATAATTTTTTATGTATTGTCGTGAATGGAGTCGGAATTTTCGGGTTGCTCGAGTAGCGAGCCCTTAAATGTCGGCCCCGTTTTGTGTTGAAATATTTTTTAGTTTTCAAATGCACGTAAGATTGGTATATTAACTGCTAAAGTTGTTCCGGCCTAATATTAGAACTTTCACCGCCTGCAAATAGTTTAATTCCAAAAATTCGAGAAGATCGACAAAAAATTGTTATGTAGAATTTCTCTCTAGTCTGCATTGCATTAAATGTATCAAATTATGGATACAGAACGAGTGTAAATTAATTTTCATTATTTCTAATCTAGAGCATTTTTTTCACGAGAAAACCTCTATTCTGCATGACGAAAGTAATCCGAACCTAATTTAGTTTTTTCTTAATCCTTTTTCATACGGAATGCAGGAGCAAAGTTTTTTTTCAATTTTAGCGCGAGAGTTCATAGATATCAATAAATTAAATTGATCGTACATAACACCTGCATTACAACATACCACTTCAATGACAACCTAACATTTCAATGCCAACATAAAACTTCCATAACAACATAACACTTCGATGACATACGCCTGTAATTTTATTTTGAAATCAAAGTTTGGAAAAAATATTCTTTGCAACTATAAATTGCAATAAAACCATTGTGTGCCGAATCTTTTATTTTAATGCGTTAGCGTTTATTGAGTTTTTCCTCGATTGCCAAGTTTTCTTAATTTGTGAGTTAAGAGTTGCTCTTTATATAGCTTAGTGCACGAGTTTCCCGTCGTATTAATCGAGCAGGAATTTCCTGTATAAACTCAGAAGTCATAAACATGTAACATGCATGATGTTGTGTTGAATATCATGCAGTGCAGCGTGCATGATGTGCTGAATATCATGCATTGTTGCTCAAGAAACAAAGCAAAACAAGCACTCAAGAATATCAGTATCCTGTCACCGCAAGCAAGGCTGCAGCTCTATACCTGCTCCTTTATTGACGCTGGCTCAGCATTTTGCTTACATTGCAGCGCTTTTGTTTTTCCACGCTGCATCGAATTTACGAGCGTTTCGTGCCACTGGCTACTTCAATTTTCTTGACCGACTTAGCCAGACAAGACAATTCACCAATGCCGCCCATTTTCCATCGGTCATTTGTCAATTTTTTCCCTTAGCTCTATTCGGTAAAATGATACCATTTTAATTATGGTCAGGACGAATATCTAGTTATCGTTTGAATGTTTCTGTGGAACTATTTTGAACGTCGGAACTTGAGAATTTTCAATCCTTTTGTTTTCTTTTTAAATGCTCCGTCTTCTTAACTAGACATAGCACACTTGTGTGATGGCTTATAAAATTAAGTATATTATTATTTTCTTCTGTTTTGTTAACACATAGCTCGGTCGTCGAGCCTATATTGTCCTCTTTACATGCACTTATTTTTAACCAATACCAGCGTTTATCTATTCATGTCAGCTATTATCGATGGAAATATTTTTCAATAAATTATTAAATATTAAATAAATATTATTAATATTAAATTTTTTTTTTATAAATTACTGTTTACTTTACGAAGTCCAAATATGAGCCCCTAGTATTTACATCGTTGCCCCAATATAATAAACTTGAATGCATTCACTCTATGGAAATAACATGTATCTCTTCGGTCACTCTGCAGGAACGGATCTCTGAGCCAGTGGCTGGTGGAGGTACGCTGCAGAGCAGAGACCGAGTGCATGAACACCCTGCAGAGCAAGAGCCTCGCTGCAGACCCTCCAGCCTTCCCTCTCTCTGCCCTCGACGCCGTCAGGAGCGTGCAGAGGAGAGCACACACCGTGTCTACTGAGTTTGCCAGACTCTGCCAGTGAGTGACAGACTGCCAGTGAGTGTCAGATCCTGTCAGTGAGTGCCAGACTCTGCCAGTGAGTGCCAGACTTTGCCAGTGAGTACCAGACTCTGCCAGTGAGTGCCAGACTCTGCCAGTGAATACCAGACTCTGCCAGTGAGTGCCAGACTCTGCCAGTGAATACCAGACTCTGCCAGTAAGGGCTAACTGTACCATCAAAAACTGTACCAGTTTGTAACTCAACGATCCTAACGCTGACGATGTTTAAAGCTAAATTTATACATCGATCACAGACGAGAAATCTGCCTGTTCCTGTATGCTTTATTTACATATTTATCTTGACTATTCGTGAGCATAATACTACAATTGTTAAGCCATATTTCTTACTAATGGTTTACATACACTTGCGCCCCCAGACGCCTGGAGGTGCGGCACTACGAGCGGCTACCCGCGCTGTCGCGCTCGCTGGTCGGCCACATCAATGCCTTCCTCAGGGAGCCTCCAGGGCCCTCGGCCGGCGCCGCGGGACCCAAGGTGAATATTAATACGAGAAAGATGCAAATACATGGCAATGTTATATCATATAATTGGTTATGATTTGTACCAGAAATACTTAATTACTCGTCATTGAATATTTTCAATATTTCCCGGCTATAATTTTAATAATTAATAATAATGGCAATGTAACATTATATATATACGCTGACTGGTTAAATTTTGAATAATATATGCCGAATAACTTGTCATTGACTACCTCTTTTCTATATTTACTGGTTGTAATATGTATAATAAGAGTCATAAAAGTTGTCACTGACTGTTTAAAAATATCATACAGCTTGGATTCATTGTAATACGTCATGTAGCCTGTCCGCGAATATTGTGCAAGCTGTGACCTCATTAACTCGTGGCAATAGGAATCAAATTTAGCGAATGTGAAATCAAACTTACTACATGCAAGTGGGATCCTCTGGATATAGAAAGTGCATAATTTAAAACACCTCCATGTGTGTTCTGAATATCCATGCGTTCATGTCAGCTTTTGAATAATTATTTTTTTTCCTTTCGTACAGTCCGCGGTCTGCCGTCAAATAGAAGTGGTACGGCAAATCTGCCATCGCTTAATGGAAATAACTACAGCCAATCCCAGCGACTTCACATCCTCGGAAGACCAGTTCAATTCACATCATAATTATAATGAAGATGTAGCTCACTACCATTCAAAATCAAGCAACTGTTTTGAAGAATCCAATAGAGAGTCTCACAATACAAGAATAACAGCAGGTCAGGTTGAAGCAACGTCACAAGAATCTAATGATGTACTGTCCCATAATATCGGCGTAACACAGTCTCACGCAGAAGAATCTTCGTTTGGAGTCTCCAAGTCCCATTGTGTTACTGAAGAATCTCTGCAACGCGTTACTGTTACACAATGTAACTTGGAAGAGGATCAAGACTCCACAAAAGGCCAGTGTGACTTGAACATATCAGCACAAGATGACCTCAGTGTGTTATCTGAACCGAACAAATCGTGCGAAGTTTCCCTCGAAAAATGTGACACAAAAGCAAAGTCGCAAAATATTGCAATGTGTGACGAACATGTAACCTCATCAGCAGAGAATGTCACAAACGTATCGACGCACGACGGATTAAGAACTAATTGCGAATCACAAGAAAAGTTACAAAGCTCTTCGGGTGTGCAGTGTCATTCGAAACGAACGTCAAAAGCGGTCAAAGAAACCGCGCAAGTTGTTACCGCCCTCGGCCACGCATTCACTAAACTCGTCGATATTTTACTCAGTGTTGAGATCAAGGTAAGGAATGACGACTGAGCAATTTAAGTTTGAAGTAAGTCTTATGCTGCTTTCTAAACATGGAGGACCTTCTTGTTAAATTGTATAATTTCTTTGAGCTTAAACATTCAGCCGTTGTTGTTAAGCCTCTTTCCTGTAATTGGTTTTATTGATGTTTTGGTCGTGATAAGAGAAATTTTTATCTCATGCTGGCTTGTATTTTCGATGCCGTAATGCACTTCGTGATAAAAAGTAACTGTAATTTCGACACGTACTCTTTGCTGGCTGCTCACGAGTTCACGCAATAATTGCAAGTTTTGTTCCTTGATTTACGGCGACGATATTTTCCCACACTGAATGTCTCCGTTACGAAGAAATTCTTCCGTCCCCGCATTATTCGGCCGCGATTAGTATCTCTTCGCTGGCCTAAAATAGATATTCCTCTTCATGTTATGAAATTATTCTCAATACTGCTGATCCTTCGACTCCAATTCAACTTAAATATATTGCAATAATTTTGATAAAAATCTGTTTCGAAGATTATAATTTAATAGTACAGTTGTATTATTATGATGTTTTTTTTGGCGGGCCGAAACTTATTGCTTTTTTTCAGACCAAGTGGTTTTAAAATTTGACTGTTGACATTTAACATATTCCACTGCCTCTTTTTAAACAACGTTTTACCTCCTAACCTTAAATTAAAATATTTTCATGTTGTTGAGGGGATAAAATTTCTTGTAATCACTGAATGTTGAGACGGTATAACTGCAAAAATTTTTGCCGGCAACAACGGATCTATTGCAATGTTTTCAGAATGAATTAGGAAATATCCGGCTTTGAAGGCAACAACTATCTGCTTCTGAAATATGCGGCTTTAAAGGCGACTATCTGCTTCTGAAATATGCGGCTTTAAAGGCGACTATCTGCTTCTGAAATATGCGGCTTTAAAGGTGACTATCTGCTTCTGAAATAATATGCGGTTTTAAAGGCGACTATCTGTTTCTGCAATATGCAACAAAAAGCGTTCGATTTTGACAAAATCTTCCAATCACCCGACTCTAACCTTGTCATCAATTGATAAAATTTTAATAACTTTGAATTGTATCAAGATAAGCTATAAGGCAAGTAAAGTTAGAAATTAGTGAGTGTTTCTAATGAATGTTTATCCGGTCATATTGTTTATCCGGTCATAAATAGCTAAGGTACAAAAACAATCTAAGCATCTCCTACACTGACATGCCACACAACTAAATGCCATGCACTGAAATTTTACAGACCAGCGTTTTATACATTGAAACATAATACATAAACATCTTGCACACTTATATGTTGCAAATAATGTGTTACACATTTACATCTTACACGCTAATTAGGGACACGAAAACATTTAAAGCAGCAACATCTCGCACACCATCATCTCATTCTTTATTCGCCTTACACTAAATAAATTAATATGTCATATTTTACTAACAGTGACACATTCTCTGCACTAACTGATACGCTCGCTTACCAGTCAAAACTGGGTCAGGAACCTGCACAGAAATGAAAAGTGCCTCACTATTTGGACAATGACCCGACCCTTTATCTGAGTGCAGGCCGTGATCAGCAGCCTAGAGAGCGACTCATCGTCCCGCGACGAGGTTCGCTCAGCTCTTCGTCAGCTGACGTCGCTGGGGGTGGACGGAGGGCACGTGTGCCGTCTCATCGCCCGTCTGGGGGGCGTACGGGCGCTGCTTGCCCTCTGTGTGGAGCCTGGCGCCCGTGCCCTCAGGGTCGCCGCCCTCAGAGCCCTCGCCACTGTCTGCTGCGTCGTCGACGGCATCGCGCACCTGGAGAAGGTGGGTCCATATTTTTTTTATATCTATGCCTGCGTCATTAGTCGACTTATTTCATTAGTCTAAGTAAGTCCACAAAATTATCATCACTGAGACCATTTTTTTTCTTTTGTCCAATACTATTCATTTTGTATTTTAATTGCTAAGAATTCTATTCTCTTTTAAAAATACGTGGGAAATAATTCTTTGGGTCTTTATAGTAATTTAGATAACATTTAATACTGGGCTCTGGAAGTTCCCGTGCAATTTATTAAGATTATTCTTAATTAGATTAGGTAAATTATATTATTTATTTATTATGAAAGTATTATAACTTATCTTTCGTATGGCGGTTATTTATACAGACTGGGGGCATGGAGGTGATCGTGGAGGTTTAGGTTAGGTGAATTATTATATTATTTATTTATTATGAAATTATAATTACTTACCTTTCGTATGGCATTTGTTTAAACAGGCAGGAGGCATGGAGGTGATAGTAGAGGTGCTGTGTGACGAGGGCGCTGCAGAGGACGAGCGCAGTGAAGCGGCGGCGGTGCTCGCACAGATCACCTCGCCCTGGGTCGACCAGAACCACGGCATCGTCTCCCTCGCCCGGCACGTCGCGCCCCTCGTCACGGCCCTTACTGGTACGTCGTCACGGCCCTTACTGGTACGTCGTCACGGCTCTCACTGGTACGTCGTCACGGCTCTCACTGGTACGTCGTCACGGCTCTCACTGG